TCTTACAGAAGGCATTGAGCAGGTAATGTGAAGGAGCCGCTCACAAAGCCAGTTAAGCGTTTCATTCGTTTATCAGCATCAGAAAGTGGTTCTGGGGGTCTTCCCCTGCATAAAGCCCGGGTTAAGGTGCAAGCCTGGCCCAGCGTAGGCGGCATACATCTGGAAGTCCCCCCGCAACATCATAAACAGACCCGGGAAGGCAACTTAGCAAAGCCTGTCCATCAGCTAACGGCTGTCCTTCCCGTCCATGCTGTGGAAATTAGGGCACAGTGCAGGTAGTCCTGGGATGGACGTGTCAGAGGAGGAATGCAAGCAGCTGTAGGTTACTGTACATCATATGTTCCGACACAACAAAAAGGACAAAAATATCACCTCCCCAAATAAGAAATTAAGACTTATACCTATCAATAAAGGCAGTAAGTACATTTTAGCAGTCTGGCTTGGGCAGTGGCTAGAGACTTACAGAGCAGATGTTCACCACTTCTCTTTCTTGTTTTTTTTTTCTTGTTTTCTTGTTTTTTTTTTTTTTTGCATCTTCCTTTCTTTTCGCGCGTGCGTGCCTATCTCTGCTTCTGTGCATGGCCTCGATAAACCGGTGATTACCCACTGATTGCAGCTCACAGCTGCCGATTACGCAGAATCCGATTCAAAGCTACCCTTTGGCCTCCAAGACAAAATTTTGCAAAAAGTGGATGCAGTTTTTTCAGATTATTTAAGTATTCTGCTAAAAAAAATTCAGAGTGTGTGATATTGCCCATAAATATGAGTTCTGAGATTGACATTTTGATTTTAACATCTTAGAATTTATTCAAGAATTGTTTTTGTCTTTTCTTTATGCAATTTGACGTCATATCCATGTAATTCACCCAGTTATATAATACCCACATTTAACTGCACACTAACATCCTGACGTCTACTGTTATAACCTAAAGCAAATAAAGATCATCTGAAAATTAAGTGTGTGTTGTTGTTCTGGGGTTCGGAGACACCCCCAGGGTTGGGGGGGTGCACAGCCCATTTCTGCCCTGTGTGCATGTGGGTTTGCAGTCCAAAGACAGGCAGCTAGACTAACTAACCGGCCAGATAAACATAATGCCAACTAACCCATTAACAATTCAGCTCGAAAGATATTGCAATTTCACAAAGGTGACCGATATTGAAATTGCCGCATTCTTTGTTCCGCATTTACGTCATGCTCATTTGTTTGTTACGCCCTGACTCCGGTGAAACAGGTTAAAATATCAAGTAAGAACCGTGGGACATTCCTCAAGCGCTCCACCAATTAGGCATCCCTTCTGTAAACTGAATACCAAACAACAGCCATTGTCTCTGCATCTGCAGGTATGCAACCCAATATGCGAGATTAAGTGCTACGGTACATAAGCCAGAAGGTGCAATTCCACAGATACCACAACGGTCCACCTGAAAAGCCTGTGAGCTGCATTAGCTGCCGACGGTGACCAGGATGTGACAGAACAAAGAGGGCGGAGCTCAATCACCCCAAGTAACCTTAGCTAACCAACGCCGAATCTCCTCCTTCTGTCCTATGCTCAAAAGGCGTTGAGTATCTCCTTCTCCAATACAGCTTATGCTCATACCTGGGCATTCATCAGGAACTCAGCCTAGCTGCACTTGCGCCAGGTCGCCACCTCGACAGCTGGAGGTTTCTAATGTGCTATTTGCCTCATGTGCATCTGCTAAATAAAGTGCCTCCGCTTCAGAGAGCCCCACCTACTCCTCCAGCAGGTGCCAGCATTCCTGATTGGTGAAACATAACAACAAAAGAATAATAATAACAATAATAATTATTATAATACCTTTGCAGGAATGCTGTCAGAGAGCTTGACACCCTACCTCTAGGCCACATGGGCAGGTGTGGGGAAGATCAGCCAAAACCCAACAACTTTTTGAACCTTGAAAGGGTGAAAAAAAAAATCAGAGAAATAAGCAGATACTTCAAAAAAGTAAAGTACAATGCATATTTACAGGAATCCTCATATGATGTGTAATTGCTAAACAACAAAGATGTAAAAAAAACTCTTCCAAAGATATTTCAAAGTTTCCGGGACATCATTCTCAGGTCAGTCGATTTTTAGAACTTCCAACGGTTTTGTGCACGTTTGTTTTATAGGGTGATACATTTTCACTAAACAGAAAACATATATACCGCCAAGATCAAACGTTACCGTTTAAACCCTTTCGCTGCATCCTTCCTCCATTGCAGTTGAAAGTACACACGCACGCATGCATGCAGAAAGACCCACATTCTGTTGCATTCACACCATGTGACCAATCCAGGCATTAAGCCAGCGAAAGCAAATGTCGTTTACCAGAAACTTCATGCACGGGGGGTGGGGTGTGTGTGTGGGGGGGATATATCAAATAGGAAAAAGTTGTCTTTAGTTTTTAGATGGTGTTTATTTCTGTTCGGAAAACAAAGCGGAAGCATCCTTGCACAACTAACACCTTACCCTAAGTCACTACTTGACAGATCTGCCTAAGGCAGATGAATCTGCTGCTTCAGGCATCAGGTTTTGGACCACGTCGCCGGAAAGGAGGATGTTCTTGAAGAACCTTTGAGCAGCTCCCATGCACACGCATGCGCAGGCACGCAGGCGTATGCGCTGAGAGAGAGAGACCCCCCCCCCCATAAACCGCTCAGACCTCTCGTGGGCGCCCTCACGGATAGCCATGCGTGCGTGTGGAGGAGATACAGGAGAAAAAAAACACCTCCTGTTTACACAGCCACTCAACATCACTGCGGCTGCTTTGCGGTCCCTTCCAAAGGCAAATCTCGCTCACACACACTGCTGTGTGACATTGTAATTTGCGAGGAGTATAATGATTCAATTAGGTCTCATGTCAGCAGGCATGCTGTCTGTTGGATGGAGCACACAAAGACACGTCTGAACATCCCCTATGACAGGAACTGTGTCAGAACTGTGCTGGTCCCCTTGATCATATCACCGATTCAATCTACCCACAGAGAATATGAGGATGATGCACAAGGAAATTATGCATGCCTGGTCTGTATCACACATTGCACATCACACACTTTGAAATCCCCTGGCCCCTGGTGCTCAGGCTGTCATGGGAGGAGAGCAACGGCTGGGGTTTGCAAGGCAGCCATAGACAAAACAAACAAACAAACAACAAAATAAACATATAGCCAGACAAAAAACCCAAACAAAAATATATTGTCGGCAAGACATAAAAAACAAACATACAGAAGACAAAACTGACAGAAACAAACACCCAACAAACAGACAAAAAAACAAACAATTTGCAGAGGCAAGGAAGCCAGCTACAAACTACAAACAAACACCGTGCAAAATGAATAAAGTGAGCAGTATGCTTTAGTTCTCGTGATCATATCAGCCACCTGTGGTTCACACAGCACAATCTTGTGGTATGTAACGGGGATATTAGGTGATAGGGCTCCTCACAACATGCGGATGGGTGGCACAGAAGGCACAAGGCGAAGATAAAAGGCTCGAGGAGAGACTCTATTGTTCCTGGACAGGCTGCAGCCTGGCAAACATGACACACCAAGTGAGCACGGCAGTGCCACGACAGCACCGGGGAGGCCCACAGAATTTCCACGAATAGGCCCTCCTTTCTGTGAACTTTACGATGGCCGAATGCCAAATTTATAACGGGGGGTAGCTCACTGTGAGGGAAAGTGAAACGCTACCGCACGTACTCTTGAGCAATAACATTAAAAAAAAGAAAAGAAATCGAACTAAACAAACAAAAAAGAAAAGTAGGCTCATTGTGCGAGCATAGCAACCGGGACTTCTAACAGGCTGGAACTTGCCGTTCCTTGCAAAGTGGATTTCAGCAGAACTTTCTTGCAGAGACCTGGCTGGATTTCATGCCTTGCTCCCTCAGTATGAGACCGGGGCCAAACCTTACAGCAAACAGAGGTCCCACAGTGCTCAAGGACACCCGCTGTGCCCCACTGGGTCAAGCCCAGTGTGCTAACTTGCCCCAATCTTGTACCCAGGCTGTCTGCAATCTGCTGCACGCTGATGCGGTGGTGGTGGTGGGGGGGCTATGCTACCCCATTGATCAAACCCTCACGCTTTCAAAGAGAAGGAGAAACAGTAGAAGGAGGTTTGATGCCACCCCCATTTTTTTTGGCAGGGCGGGCACTCACCAAAACCTCAAGCACCCAGCACAAAAGAGTGAGGGAGAGAGGGAGGGAGGCAGGGAGGGAGAGAGAGGGACACACTGTAGATAGAGAGAGAAAGGAAATGAAGAAATGGTCACAAGGCACATGCGAGCTGTGCAGGAATTGGTACATTGTGTTTAGTCACATGCTGAGGGCTTCATGAAAAGCAGGCAGGAATACATTAGTCAGCTTGGGTCATGGAGCAGAGCTGGGGAGCTCGAATCTGTGCAAAGTCCCCCCCCCGCCGCTAGTCGTATTGAGTCTCTGCAGCCAGGTATTCTACTCTGACGGTCCTCTGTGAGTCAACAAAAAGCCCAGCGTCTGGCTTTTTCAGACTGGTGGGGGAGGGGGGGGGGNTAGACAGCGCCCCGCGCTAAATATACACTCTGAAAATCTCAGATAAGCAAATATGTATTAATATGTACACAGACACACATATATACACACATGTAGTATTTATATACACATATAATAATAATGTTGTTTACTTCATGCACAAGGGCATTTCCTGCAAATAGGAGCCGGAACCTGGACCCATTACGTGGAAAGAGAGTCTCTCTGAGACCAGGAAGCTGGATGGTAAGCAGTCCGTAGGTCATCTCTGTTTGTCGTCGCCCTTCAGTCCTGGTGAATTTTCCAATTTAGAAAGTAAAATAATAAAATAAAATAAAAAATTGTCCAAAGCCTCATCAGACATCGCAATAAATGCACTGTCAGGCGCCACTTTCAAACGTCTGGAAATCTTGCATGCGACGCAATGTGTTTGTTACATAAACACTGAGCAAATGTCCTTTATAAATATTCAGATCCTGCAGCTGCACTCATGTCTGAGAGGACAGACAACACATTCCGTCCACGTTGAGGCGGCAGGCTCGCCTGGCAACAGGCCTGCCAATCAGAGCCCAGCGTCTGCCACTTTGCAACGGCTGACGGTGCACCTCTGAGGCTGCGGCGCAGAGCGGTGCCCCGCGCATGGGCTGTGCCTCACGGGGCCGAGTCACAGATGTGACTTCCCCACCCACCCGCCATGACTCGCAACACTGCACGTTCGGCAGGAACAGGACTGTACCTAATTAAAGAAAAACGTCTCAAAGAAAACTTCATTTTAGTAGCTTAGGGGGGAGGGGAGGATTTGCTTGAGTAGATCAGGTTAAGGTCCTTCAAGGACACTACGGCTCAGCATCTCCTGGGCCGTGAACCAGCAGCCTTCTGTGCCCTTAACCATCATGTGAGGTATCGTCCATCTAGCCAGCTCTTTTTAAGAAGTTTCCAGATTGTACTCAGAGCAGTCCTGATGTCCACAACCTGCCCGGTACGGCCCAGTGCGTATAGAAGGTTTTAGATGTTTGTTACAAAGAGGAATGAGGATGGATCTGAATGAAAGAGCCAAGCTGCTCTCATGGTTAGACTGCACACTTTCCCTGCACCGGCAAGGGAGTGACCCTCTTCTCGCTCAAATATGTGCTAAGTCTGCTGTACTCCCTACTCCTCTGTGCTTCAGGCCTCAGCCAATCAGCTTCCAGTATGGAAATCAGGAATTTATCCCACTGCAGTACACATTATCTCCTGGGACACTATGACAATATTTGAAAATGCGTTCTTTTCCTGGCAACAAAAAAAAGGCTTTGAAAATACACACATCCACTTATATACATCCTCATGTAATATAATTTTTCACACACGGATATTTTATACCGCATGGAACAGTGGCACACAAAAATGGGCAGATTTTGTGCAGGTTTTGGGGAAAAGTGCTTTTGCATTAATATTTTAACACCACAGACCTCCCCCCCAGCCAGTGCACTAATACCCAGCTCTGAAGTGAGCAAAGATCTGGCGAAGGTTAGAGAAGGTCGTCGTCCAAGGCACGACCGCAAACCAAAAAGCCACAACGGCACTCGAAGATGGGAGATTTGTTTCACGCCCCCTCTCCCCAGAGACTGGGCCGCTGGGTGAAATTGCCCCCCCCCCCCCCAAAAAAAAAAAAATACCAGCCCAAGGTGAGCAGCATCCTGATCGGCCGGAAGAGCCCGACGCCGTTGTCTGGCTGTCGCTCAGGACTTGATATTTTTGCCCTTGTCGGCAGGACGGGCATCTCCAGACGGGGAAGTAAAAAAAAAATGATGATAGGATGGCTGGTGAGCTACAGCTGAAGGAGCGAGCATGGGGGGGGCGCTTGCATCGCCCCTGCTAGCTGTTGCTCCCCCCGGTATTCTGCTTGGGTAACATTGCACGCCCCCCCCTCCCAGTTTTTATTTTATATATATATATATAAAAAAAAAGATTAAAGTAGCCCGAGGAGAAATGGGCAGGGGGTGGAAATCTGCCCAGATATGAGACAACACCCTCTGAGCAAACACCCCCCCCCCCCCCCCAATCCTGAAATATTTTCACTTGCGGAGACGGAGTGAGGAGAGGCAGCGAAATGCTCGACGCCAAAAGCACGTTGTCAGTCGATCCCGGGCCTACGGAGGGCTAGATAAATAGCATTTGAGGGGGGGGGGGGTCAGAGAGAAACAGAAGGCTTGGGGCCCCCTCCCAACACCGTCCCCCCACCTGGAAACAAGCTGATGGGTTGGGGTAAGTTTATGGTGAAAACTAACGAGGAGTAAACAAACAAAAAAAAAGACAGATGAATGATCGGAAAGCAGGACGCCAGCGTGTTCAGTGTGGAAAGCGAGGCTTAAATGGGCCGTTTATACGCAGCCAAGACGGAGAGCTGGGCCGCCGCCACGCCGAGCCGTCCAATGGCGCTTTGGTTTCTGGATCCCGGCAGCTTGTATTAAATTACTCTATGTTCATTTCACAGGCTGCTTTTCTTAGACCGGTTTCCCAAGACCGTTTTTCTGACCTCGGCGCGTCTTTTTTTGTTCTTTCAAAGCCGCTTTCGCCGCTGCCCGGAACGCAGGTCAGCCGAGCGCCGAATCCGCAGCGTGGGCACGTTTCGGGAAACGTAGCACCAAGAACGGGACGGGACAGGCATGAGATCCGACGCCCCCCCCCCCCCGCACACTACGCCATGCCTCACCCCGCTGCACCTATCCGGCCTGTCCCAGTCCAGCAGCGACTGGGAAGACAGTTTCTGGCTCACCCTGCCCCAGCAGTGGGTCTGGCTGGGGGGGGGTGGGGGGGTGGATCTTTATAGAGGGGGGGCTGCAGCGACTCAATCCCGGTAAAACAGAGACAGCTGCAGTGTTCTGCTTCCAAGCCAGAACCGCCCAAAACTTCAATGAGTCAGCAGTTCAGAGGGAGAGAGAGAGACAGACAGACAGAGAGAGAGAGAGAGAGGAAGAGAGAGAAAGGCAGCCAGACACGTATGGAGAGACAAACCCTGCACGACTGAGAAATGACCCCCCTGTGCGGCAGCTAAATGCAGAGGCGCAGACCTCCTTCTATTAAAAAAATTGACACATACAGCATTCAGTGGTTTCCACAAACCTCCGCGGCCGTGCGCCCAAACTCCGCCTCTCCTCAAACCAAAGCAATCCTTCGAAATGAACCCTGCGCAGCGACAGGCTCGGCCTTACCTCCCCCATGGTCTGGAAGCTATAACTAAATCTCAGAAAGTTACACTGTAAAATAAACAAATAAGGGCGAAGGAGGCGGGATCTCACAGACTGGCGGGCCTCACCGACCAATGACGCGGCACCTCAAGGGGCGGGGGATTGAAGACAGGGAGAAACCCGAGAAGGGGACGGGGCAGCCGGTGACATGATGGGCTTCATTACACTGGCATGGCTGGCGTGATCCGGACCTGCGGTCCACCGGGGCGACATATACGGCCCGCCATGGATTCCAGGCTTTTTCTAACGTCCTCAGCGCCACACCATGAGCAGCTGTCACCCAACAGCCCAACGTGCTGAGTGACGGTGGTGGTGGGGGGGGGGCCCCCCCCCCCCCCCCAAAGAAAATAATTGTGGTTCTGAGCTTCACTATTCAGTCTGAGTGCACCCGGACCAAACTGAATTTTGAAGACTGAAAAAATAATGTCTAAAACCTTCCACAGCTGGGTCAACGTTCTGGAGCCGGTCAGATCTCCAGCAGCGTATAAAGGATAAAAATCCAAGCCTCTGTCAGTCAGCGCTCGGCGACATGCCCTCTTAGCTTCTCCTATGCTGTGTCTGACACACCGATCCACGGGCCGCCTGGGTGGGGCAGGGATGTCGGACCAGCCGCCCAACCGACGTTCCACGCTTAGGTCCCCTCCCTCCTCGCCGAAGACCTGCAGGTCCGTATCTGTCTAGGACGGCAGACAAAGGCCGGCGGGGGGGAAAGTGCTCGGCGACAAGAGGGAGGGAATTACAGCACGAGCCTCAGTCGAAAGCGATCCATAGATAATAAAATTCACGGAGCAGACGGACTAATAACACAAGTGAAATGCTGGCGGGCAGCGTGTGCTGCTGTTTCCCCGAGAAGCCTGCGGGGACATTAATCAAAACCATTTGAGATAATTGAGCGAAGAGCCTGCTAATATGTTCAAGGAAACAGCGTATATAAAACTCTAATGTAAACACCTAATGGATTTAGGCAGAATCGCTTCCTGTCACACTTCATTTCGCTCAAAGGTGCTGTTACTCTTGGCTCATCGTTTCCATGTTCCTCTCACATATTCCTGGGCCCTTTTTATAACACAGAGCCCTTACAGCACACAGTACCAGTCTCCCGGCTGCACTTTACACTGGATTTAGACCAGCAGAGAGCTACATCCACCAAAGTCATTATAGCCAAGGCAGAAATTTACGGCTCTGAGCACACAGAGTATGACAAGGACCAGGCGCTCATCCCCCCCCCCAAGAGGCACCAAAAAGGAACCTTTCCATTACAGGAACCAGTGGAGCACAGCATACACAAAGCTGTATACTAGCAGGGAGGTAAACAGCATAATTTTATACTAAAGTAAGTAAGTAAAAAAAAAGAAAAAAAAAGGCAAGTCTATAAAGCATTCAGAGGCTGGAGTGAATTCACTTAGTGACAAGAACCTTTTTTTCAAGGAAATTTGTAAAAAGCAACGTGGGTAAACAGATAAACTGATTAATACATTTTTTTTAACTAAAGCTTCTTAGAAAAGTGAAGGATAGTTAAAACAAGACCGGGACTGCACCTTACTTTCTGCGAAATCTAAGCTTTTTCAGTTTTACGTTTTGATTATCTCTTAGGCCTCATTTTCTACCTTCAACAGGAATAGAAAGCACTTCCAAAATTCATTATTTATACTTTTTAATTATCCCATTTCCCATTTGCCATTGCTGTGATATTTTCCACCAATTGAGTCCACTCGCGTTACTCATTTTGTCATGATAATCGCACTTGACAGATTGCAGAAAAGAGTGATGCTGTTGTTCCGCTACCCCTCCAGAATGTGCCCGTCCATCATTTTTAAACCTAGACAGCTAATTAACTGAAAATGCAAGAAAATTCTTATCTGTGTGGGATTTTACCAGAAACAAAATTATCTTCGTATATTAATAATTTTAAAATTATTTGCATATCGGCCAAGCCAGTTTCTAAACCAAATTAGCGGAAGTATTCCACATTAATTGAAATCACTCTCAAGTAAAAGCGCGTACATTTAAAAAGCTCATATATAAGCAAACATTTATGAAGAAAAAGTCGCCAGTAGCAAAAAAAAAAAGATTTAACAAACATGTAAGACCTTTAATGCTTCATAAAAATATTAGCGCATTACTCTTAACTGTCCGGTGATTGCGATTAATTGTGCAGATATGCGCATGCATGCATGCATTCAGCGTAACTTTAATCTTTATCCTTCATAGGGAGACTTTTTTTCTTACAAGGTGGACGTTTTTGCTTTATTTTAACTGTAAAATTAATTTTCCTGTCATTTCAGTTTTGGAAACATCTAAGCAGTCCAAACCTAGCAAACTGGGACGCAAAAGACCACGTAGGCGTGTCACGCAGCTACCCCAACATAACGGAAAGCAGGGTCAGTTTAATCACACATCCGGCCACTTACTTATAGAAATAACCTTTTAAAATCCGTCTGAATAAAACGAACTAATCTTATAATCATTTACCTTTACATGAGTGTCAATTTCTATATCGGTGACATTAAGCAGATCACAGTCACGTCACACGTGGCTACATAAGTATCGTAATGAAACTTAGAAAAATGCATGCATCCATTTGTGGTTATATTATTACTGTTCTTATAATGTTGCCGACGTTATTATAGTCATGTCACCGCGTCAAGCTTTAATAACGTGACCTAACCATGTAAAATATCTAAAGTCCACGTCTGAACATGTGCCACGCAATTTAAATACATTTCCCTTACTTTTATATGACCTTCAAATAGGCAAACGAGGCGTTATTATCCAACAACAAAGATGGGCAGAACCTGCATTCCTTAACCAACGCATTTCAATTGTCCCAAATAAAGTCCCTTTATCAAATCAATGTCATTGTGAGGGAGACACGTAACAATCCGTAGAGTCAAAATAAAATACAAATGAAATAAGCGGAACGAGGGTGAAACCTTATGGCATTATATATGCGATCGCGAAAACATTTCATCTCTATATAACATTAAAGATGAATGCAATAACTAACGTACTTTGTTTAGATATTTAAAAACAATGCAAAACGTATGCGTCATGGCCTCTGGTAATATAAATATTTAGCGCAAATAAAGTGGGGAAAATACCCGTTGTATTTATCATCCATAAAATCTGCTCCACCGGGACGATGCGGTGTTTCTCCGGATGCAAAGTTCGCAGGGTCCGCGTCCGACCAGGCCCCTGTCTCACCTCGCTCGCCGGCCCGACCGATCTCCGCCGTCTCTCTCTCTTTCTCTCTCTCTTCTCTCTCTCTCTCTGTCTCTCTTTCCCTATCCAGGAAGTGATTGCAGCTCACAAGGACGGCGACCGAGCTGCGCTCCCCCCTGACATCATTCACCATTTACTTCGGCTTTTTTTAAAGACACAGACTGATCCTTCGGACTTGGGGAGCCGCAGCCTGCCGATCGCTCCGATAGATCCCCGCACGAAACATTTATTTTCGATAATTTTAGGAGGCACGTAACACTAATAAAATCCACGTCTAATTAAAACTCGAATCTCCCAAACTCTTACAAATAAACACGTTACGATGCAGCCTTAAAATGACCATTTCACATAATCGTTTGTTTTTCGTAATTTTATCGTGCGTTGAGAAAAAAATATATTACAGGGAATACATTCCTGTATAGCACTGGGCTAACCGGTAAAATAGATGAATGTAGTAATTATGGGTGAGTCATTTGTGAACACGATACATTTTGTGTTAATATCCTGCAGAGCATGAAAGTAGAAAGTGTGGGAGAGGTTTTTTTTTTTTTTTTTTTAAAAAAAAGGTGTACACTAAAAGTTAAATGTACAGTATTAAAGTTGGGTTAAAGGCTGATTATTTACTATTGCGCTTACATTTATCGTACAAATAATAATTAAAGCAAGGGGGGGATTTAAACATCAGGATGCATGAGCTACAGCACACCCATAACAAATGCAGACAAATATTTATATTGACATGAGGTCATTATGTCACATCCGGTCCAGCTCATACCTCGCGGATTACCTGCCGCAGGCTCGCACATCCTTCACGGCCACGCCCACCTACAAATGGTCTTACGCAGTCATGCACGCCTGCAATTCATTCAGCATTTATCTATTAACATATTTCTTACTATTCACCACCTACTCAGTTTTGTAATTCTGACCTTGATTTTGGATGGTTTCTGGTTTCCCTACTTCATTTCATTTTCTCCAGTTTCCCTGGCGTCCTGGCTTCTGTTTCTGGCGAGTCTGACCTTGTTTCAGTCTATGATCTCATCCTCTGAGATTCTCACCCTCCTTGGCATTTGAGTTGCACCTAACCATATCATTTGTATACCTTGCAGTCAGTGGACCTCGGGCTTATCCGTACTGAGTACTCAGGGACCGCAGTGTGACAGAGTGAAGGTCTGATAGGCAGCCACCTGCCGTCACATATGAACATGTGCATTTGTCAGCGATTGTGCTTCTTTTGTGTTTTGTTCAGGCCCGTTATACATAGTTCCCAGGCCTCCGACATAATTACCTCAACTGGGTCCTCATGACACATAACCCCTCCCATCAGGGCCCTCTCCTGCCCCCATTGTTCCCCTCAAGACATTGGACCTGGCTTTCTTAAATGAATTTTTGTACCTGTCTGTGTGACATTTCACACCTGTTGCATGTTATATTTGATTTATTTTCCATGCAATATAGTGTTGTGAGTTCAGACATATATTCAGTTCATTGACTGAAATTAACCATTTATAGCTCAGCTGGTATCAATGTGGGATCACATCTCCAGGGATGTTTTGTTGGTTCCCACTCTTGGTTCTGTGTTTACAGTTTGTATGTTCATGTGGGTTTCCTCTGGGTAGCCTAGTTTCCTACCACAGTTCTGAAACATTCAATTTAGGTAGACATGTGTCTCTATGTAGACATGTGTCTGCTTGCAATGAAATTTCGTTCCCTGTGCTGAAAGGGCATCCTATCTAGGGTGTTCCCCACCTTGACTCATTGCTTTCTATGATTGGCTCAGCACAGCTCTACATTGAGTATGCAGTTCTTGAAGGTTTCTGTCACAGCACCTATGATGGTTCAAAGGCCATTGCTTTAAGGAAATAAATACACTGTTGTGGTTGTCCACGTGTTTGTTGCACAGCAGTAAAATCCCACTCCTAGACACAAGATGGCAGTGTTTCCATCAGCAACAACAATCTCCATTTATTAACTAGCAGTTGAGGATGACAATGGTGAATGAAAATGATGACCCAAGCAAGACTCTACCAGGGCAAAGGAAAGCAGTGGTGGTACCTAGAATCAGAGCACAGATAATTCCTGGTGTTTCTTTATTAATGTTTTTGAACATCAGCCTGTGAGCCTAACTTCAAAGCTGTAAAATTCAGTTTAATTGAGAAAAATGCAAATTAGGTTCACTGTAGCAATCAAGCAGGTGCACATCTGGGTAATAGATTTTTTTTCAATTGCTAGAGGTTTTTTTATTTTCAGTAGCACACATTTTCTTTTAAAATAAAGACAGCAGAATTCATTAAACTGCATCCATTAAATTGAACTTTGACCTCACCATCAGATGATCTTATGAAAAAATCAACTGAACAGCACCATTTATTCATCTGTTGACACAGACACCCCTGATGGGATCAGACGGTCACATGATCTGGCCCAGCTTCCTGTTTGTATCGCAAAGGATGTTTGGAGTTTTTGTCATTCGGCTGCACTGGAGAGTCACTGAACACTGCAGAGTATTTGAAACTCAAACAAACAAGTAAAGAAAACATAAATAAATAAAATTTCAAAGCCTCCTCTTTCATTGCTAATAAGGTCAACATTACTATACCCTGCTTATGTACATCTCAGAGTCTTATTTTAATTAACGCTGAAGTCAAACTGAAGCCAAAACTACAAACAGCATTAATTTATAGAAAAGTACAAAGCACATTACTGACTGTTATACCAACCAGCTACAATGTGCTGCATCGAAAAAGGTCACTGGCTAAATAAAGAGACACAGTAAAACATGTAACAACATATCACAAGTGCATCAAATTGTGCCCAAACATTTGTACCATTAAAATTCACAGAGAAAGGCAGAATATGTTATTATGAAAAGCTGATGCAATAGTAGTTATGATGAAAACCATTTCTGCATCGGGTATGACTGGCCTTTTTTTCTACTTTCCTGATAACACACCACTCGATAAATATCTCCTCTTATCTGCCATCTCTTTCAGTTTTTTGTTTTTTGTTTTCAATTTATTTGTTTGTAAGTTTTTTTCATTCAAAAATTCAATTATATGTCCAGCAGGGAAGGTTCGATTTAAAGATCTCAGGGGAAAATGTGGCAGCATTGGAATGCTCCGACACTAATTTTAATCCTTTGAAGATATGCACTGCTGTGCTAGAAATAACATAACCTGGGATTTTTTTTTAAATGAAAACAAGCTCAGTGCAAGTAGATTTTCCCCCCCAAATTTCCTAAAGTCTTCTTTACATAAACTTTTACCACATAACCAAAGTCAATGAGACCATTACTGATATCCTACTACTATGACAATACCGATCTACTTCCAATCAACATCCAGCAGAGTCTACACCAATGTTAGGGTAAAAACTGGCAGAACTCCTGTTGTATCAAACTTGAAACTGTTTGGCCACATACATAGCATCTTGTGATAGATGCGAACCTCATACAGGAGTCCGAAGCTCAGCTGAACAGCAGGCGTGTGACAAACTTGTATTAGCGTCCTTCCATACTGCACATAGAAGAGGGTCAGTACAAACAAAACAGCTGAATTGTGTTATGTATGCTGTACGAGCTGTGTTATGTTATGTATGAGCTGTGTATAAGCTGTGTTATGTTATGTATGAGCTGTATATAAGATGTGTTATGTATGAGCTGTGTTATGTATGAGCTATGTATGAGCTGTGTTATGTTATGTATGAGCTGTGTATGAGCTGTGTTATGTTATGTATGAGCTGTGTGTGAGCTGTGTTGCATTATGTATGAGCTGTGTATGAGCTGTGTAATGTTAAGGAGATACCCGAATGCCCAGGAACAAGAAGGCTCGGCCTACAGCTCCCCGCAGCACAGAAGCACACCGTTGTCTGGACCCCCATTACCATGGAAACCGATATTCGCAGGTGCATTCGCCTCGGTGCTATAAGTTTAGACTGCCGCTCTGGAAGATCTCCCAGGCAACGTGGACCCTTGAAAAATGTGTCTGAAACTAAGCCTAACAAAAACAGACACTGAAGGTAGCCTTTGAAATTCTTAACATGCCTCCTCGCTAATTTTTCATGCAGGAAAAACATTAGATAAAAAAATGACTGCAAGGTTGCACACTAGGTAGATAGATAGGCCTACCTATTGTAAACTATTGTTTTCATATGCATCAGTAAACATTATTTGAAACAATATTTTGTCATTTTTGCCACATTCTGCTTTGTAGTTAATGGCCTACAAAAAAAAGCACAAAAAAATCCATGCTCAACAAGACCGTAAAATTAAACTGTCTAACTGGCAAATCTACAGTATATCGTATTTACAGCTACAAATATATAAACAATAAAACAAGTGATGTGGAGGAAAAAATAAAATTATTACTGTAACTGTAATTTTTCTTACAAGAATGCCATTGGACCAATATGTAAACGGACAAGTCAATAATACATGTAGAACAATGCCGAATAAACAAATAAAGAAATATCATCATCCTCAGGGCTTATTAATATCGTACGCTGTTGGTAGTAAAGCCTTGTGTAACCTCTGTTTTCTTAGTCTAAATCAAGCCTAGCTTTGGGCAACTCCCAAACTACACCTACATTACATTCTGAACGGTTCAATACTATAATGTGTCTTTAAAGATAATTGGGGGGAGTCATTTTTATATGTCGGGCTGCCAATAAAAATCCCCAAAGCTCCCAGATATCAGGGTTTCAGTTTTTAACAATTTCCAAAATGAGAGGCCATGAATAATATTCACAGCAGTGTTTTTTCTCCTCAGCCCACAATCCCAATCGATAAATAAGGCAAGCAGCCGCTGGGCGCCGCGCTGGCTGTACATGTCCCCGCTGCCACACTGATGTCGATACAGTTTGAAGTGAGTGACATTAATGAGCAGACAGTCAGGGTTTGTCACGGACTTGGATGCCACAAAGCCGTGTTACACCTGTCACCTCCGCTTATTTACTACTGCATCTCAAGCTGCTGTAAAATTTGGACCGCTGTAGCCGAGCCTTAAAGTTTTCAATTAAATTGAAACACAAGCGCTCGTTTTAGTTTCAGGATTATCCCTCATGTATGTAGGCCTACATTTTAACCAAAAGCGCTAATCTCAGGTTATCTTGGTAATTATAAAACACAAAATCATGTCCATAGTTATATAAAAACATAATATATCCCTGCATAATTACTGATGTCCTATAACTTTTTAAACTTAAACCGTCAACTGGAAGGTCGTATGTTGTGTGCATTACTTAAAAATGCAATAATAATAAAAATAATAATATTTAAATAAAATCAAAATAGGCCTAAGAGAGAAAACAATATTGCCTGCCATTGTTACGGTGCACTTTTGAATCTAATCCAGCCCCATGAGAAGTTTGCTTGTTTTCCCTGTACTCATGTGTATCATATGTTTTAATTTTGTAATTAGTTGATGGCTCCATCCTGGGTTATTCCCTGTGTTGCGCCCGTAGATTTCCGAGATAGGCCTCCGTACCCCGCATAAGACAGGCGGGTACAGAAAGCGGATGGATGGTTAATCTTCGTGACACCGGTTACAGTAACTGTTAACAGATGGCTGGGCTGTCGGGAATAAAACAGGTAGAAAATTAAATGCCCCTCATTTGCAAGATACTCGTCAGCAAGAAGCTGCCGGTTCAACGTGAGGGTTGAACTTGCCGATCGCACTGTAAACACCGCACGCCGTTTCGATTACATGACACTTTTTGAGGGCTTATGTCACTCCCCGGTAAACTTGCTTTCACCTCACTAACTTTCCTGACACGCAGGGCAACCTTCAGCGCATAGATTTATGGGGTAGCCGAAAGATTACTTTCAGCCTATTTGTCAGCTGGCCAGGCATTGGTGGAAGAGACATGAGTCTGGCAGATAAATCATAAACAGAGGCATTTTTAAAAAGAGTTTATTACAGTCGTTAACGGTGCGCCAGTTCAGTATGTGGAGGATTTAAAGGTATATTATGCAAAATCAGAAAAACAAACCTTATAATACTTAATCAAACATGCATAAAGCTGTCTCTGGAGCTAAATAAATTCTCCCAATTAACTTGCTTGAAGATTGTGATTGCTTTTACTAATTTAATCAACAGTGTAATAATCTGAGCGTGAGCCATGATTGATGGTTAAATTGGGCGTAGCGATGGAAGGAGGAAGGCAGCCGTCCAGGGACACCGGTGATGATTAAAATAGGAGGACGTCCTCCGCCGGAACCTCTCGGCATTCCATCCGCCCGGCCCGGCCCGGCCCGGCCCGGCCCGGCCTCCCCACAGCTCACAGCTAACGAACACCGGCCTATCAGTCTCTCCGACTGGCTCTCGTGGCCCTTGGTTTGCTTCTGTGCATCTTCAAATATCGTCCCAGGAATTTTGGCACAAGAATAGCAAGTTCCGCTAGCACATCCAAAATTTTACAATGAACACAATTTATTCCCCTGATTTTTGTCTGTTTAGTTGGTCACACTGAAAATTAAATGATCCTTTATGTGCAACTTGCATGAGTATGAGTGCAAATACTTTGGAATGCTTCTTATGCATGTGCCATCTTGCTCTCCCTTGACACACACACACACACACACACACACACACACACAGGTTTGCAATTATATCTTTGTGGGGACTCTCCATTCATTTCCATGGGAAAAACTCTAATCCCAATGACGACCTTAGCCGCTACCCAGGTCTAACCTTAACCAAACAAAATATGAGACTTGTGCCATTTTTACTGTTTTGACTGCATTTGCAGATCTTTGTGGGGACCTGAAAAATCGTCCCCTCAGTGTCAAAATAACAGGTTTTTTATCACATTATGAGGAACATTTGGTCCCCACAATGTAATATAAACCTAATCCACACACACCCTCACAAACACCTGAACTAATGTGGGGGCTGTCCATTCACTTATATGGAGAAACCCAAATCCCAAAAAAGTCAACCTTAACCCGTACCCAACACTTTGGGACTGGAAAAATGGTCCCTACAATGTCAAAATAACAGGTTTTTATCACGTTGTGGGGACATTAGGTAAGGTATACTTAGGCCACACACATACGTTGCCCCTGGAACATTTCAGCCCATTAAGGGCCTTGCTCCTGGCTCCAATAGGCATGTAAAATTCTGCCAAGGTCAGAGCCTGAACCAACAACCTTCCGTCACAGACGCAGAGGCATAACTCGCTGTGCCACACACTGCCCCCCTTTGCTTACAATAAGCAGTCTAATATTTGGCATAATGCTGTATAACATTAATACCTGATGTTTGTAGACAGCATTGTGAACCATTGCTGTCTCATTCCTCCAGGAGTGGGGGTTCAAATCCCACATCTGCTCTGTCTTGTGTGGAGTTTGCTTGTTCGTTCCTGGTATTGTTTCAAAACACAGGCAGTTAGGGTATTCGGTAACTTTAAATTGCTTGTGGTGTGTGAGCATGTCTGTATCTGTGTCCTCTGATGGCTGTGATGCGCTGGCATCCTGCCCACTGTGTACCATGGCCATGTGTCTCACGTAGCCTGGAGTAGAGTACAGGCTGCTCAGTGACCCTGTCCAAAAAAAGGAGCTGACAGATGGATATGAATGGGAATATGTGATAAAGTCATTTAAAAATGCCTAATCAAAGCATTGTGGTATATTCCCTTTGAACATTTTAAATGTCTCTTTTGACTATGAATAGATCAGAGATATTATTTACCATCATTAAAAGTTAATAGCACCTTTAGAGGTAAACCAGGAACAGAAACATCTGTTTAAAATGCTCAGCTTTTTTCTGCTGAGGAATCCCACTTTGAACTACAAAAAAGGAACTGCACTCACAATATACTTCTCATACTATTTAGAAAAAAAGTTTATTGCAGCATGCTACACAGACGCATTTCGGCGTCAAGTCATTATCAATGTGTAAAAAACACCAAATCACACTGGTTTTATCCAGGCAACATTAAGAAACAGGTGATAGCGTGACGTCATAATTGCCAACCCCCAAGAATGCACACCTTGACACACAGACACACAATTACGCACCAGATCTCCAAAGAAAAAATACAAACTATATATGCACACATAATATATAGGCCTAACAAATAAATACCAATATCATAATACAACAATCCCATACATTCCCCAAAAACCCTCAAAAAGTACTTCAAACCGTACATCCTTATGGCCTTAATGAAGAGCTAGTTTTAAATTGCTTTTTGTGAATCGTTGACTATCATGCCCTGTTTTGTCTATTTCATGTCACGCTATCACCTGTTTCTGAATGTTGCCTGGATAAAACCAGTGTGGTTTGGTGTTTTTTACACATTGATAACGGCTTGACGTCAAAACGCGTCTGTGTAGCATGGTGCAATAAACTTTTTTTCTAAATAGTATGAGAAGTATATTGTGAGTGCGGCTCCTTGTATTCTGATGTCGCTAACTCGCACCCTAAGTAATTTTTGAGATATTTTGGAGTTTGAGCGCGCCTATCTTTGATACTTGTGTCCCCCTTTGAATGCCACTTGTCCCCTGTTTCAGGATGTTAAAAGGTGTTGACGGTACTGACAAGCATCGGTCAATATGTTAAACGCCCTCTGTCCATGCCAGTGGATGCTGATGAAAATCTTTATATTTTGCCCAAGCTGTTTCCTACCCTGTGCTACTGGACATTTTACTTCACCAGGAAAAGGACAACAAAGAGCATCACAGCACGGCAGATGCCTTCTCACCGAAGACCCGCCTTTCATTCAGTTTCACTGGATTTGGGGGATAGTAGCAGACAGGGAAATTTGATTCCAAGAGCTAGGAGGAATTCTGAACGCAACAGCAGAAATGTTGTTGCACGCTGAATTATACTGGACCTCAGAGCGTGGGAGAGAAGTAAAATCAGCACACAGCAAAACCTATAATCCGGTAACTTAAAATCCAAAGCAGCTCTGTGCAGGCGACTTATTCGCAATGAAAATAGTGTCCTGCTAGGAGTTACAAGTTCAGCCATTATCTTCCACAAGTGTGATGTTGCTTGGATGTGTCAACATAATTCAGTTTTTGTCCTTGCAGGTATGGGGTAGATGTATTACAGGAGAAAGAGAGACACATTAAATGACAACAAGATTTGCATCTGTGAATTTAGCGTTGGTGATCTGCTCAAATGTTAAATTGCGCACTTTCATGCTTAAGACTAATATGGGAAATGAAAGAGAAATAAACACATTACAAAACAAGGCATTATTAATCATAAATTAATATAACTCATAATAAGATCCTTTGACAGCAGCAAAAGAGGTCATTTAAAAATGGCGGACGTTTTGCAGTTTTACCACTAGATGGAGCCCTTTATCTAATTTTCTGTTTGAACTTGGTTTACGGTGTTGGAACCACCAGCGTTGAATAGCTGTGGCAACATGCGGCAGAGTGGGGATGGATTCTGCTGTTTGTGCATGCAGTGTTCCTACCTATAAGAAAGGATAAATTACTTTTCCTCTAAATACCACAAACAGCAACAATAATAGTAATAATAATAAACATCATCACCAACGCTGATTACAGTACAGCGGGACTTTTACGTGCTGTAGATGTACTGTACGTATTTTTAATTATTTCAACCTTATTAAATTCCCAGAGCAACCATTTTTACCCTTATCTATACGTAAGGGCATAACGGCGAAAGTTATATATTTTTAAGTGCCGGTAGGCGGTGTTGAACAGTTTCCAAGTTACACATTAACAAATATAATTTTCATAAATCGCGGCAGCAAAAAAAATTCAGCAGTTCCGCAGCAACGGAAACTTTAACCTTTTTAAGCGGCAAACATTAAAACGTCATGGAGAGATAATAATTTCACCCAATTATCATTAAGCCATCTGGCGCGTAAAATAAAACCACCTCGAACAGATCAGAGCTTCCATACATCCATCCATCCATCCATTTTCTCCAAACGCTCGTCCAGGGTCGCGGGGGCGCGCAGCCTATCCCGGAGGCTAGAGGCGAAAGGCAGGGAGATCAGAGCTTATAGGTTTGATATTTTCTGCATTCAAGCCGTACCAGCCGTAACTGCCTTTAGGTATTCCCGCTCCGTTTTCCGCTGTTATTTCATGGTTTCTTTCTGGATGCAAGCTGCCCTTTTACTCTAGGACTAAATCAGAGACAAAGATTTTTGTTCTCTACCTAACGGATCCCGGGTATTACCCATATGCTACCTCTTTGGCCCAACATGAAATACACCTTAATTGTATAATATCGTTTTCCTCTAATAGGTGATTGTGACACTGAGAATATTCGAATAGGATCAAATCCCAGTTATCAGCTATCGGCTTTACCCTGCAAAATTTCGCGCAGAAAACTGAAATACCAGGGATTGAATTAATTAATTAATTATGTGCGCAGCGGTCAAAGTCCAGGCACAGGGGAGAGGAAATTAAATCCATTAACCGGACTAACAGAATCAGAAAGACTTTAATTAAAGGAGGTTTAATTAAAGGACCCATGAGAGATGACCTTACAGCAAATTTTCAGCTGCAAAGTGTCGGCTGTCGGAAATGTTTTGTGGCCTCCGTGCCAAACGTCCAAGTGAAATATCCAGTCACTCTGCAGAGGGGGAAAATATGACGTCATCCGAGCAATAAACAGAACTTTCTCTATGCTGGAACACTTCTTAAGCAGATAAGGAAATATCCTTTGGGGTGTCTAATTTGATTTCAGCACTTAAAATTAATTTCCAAATGTCTCGGAATTTTAAACCAGTATTTTCTGAGCAGATTTTATAACATTCACATTGCCATAAAACTCATTTTGCTGTATATGTGTCCCCTCAGCCTCACTGGCTTTGATTTTGACTGAAGAATGACAAGCGCTATTGCATGCTGGGAAAAACCGGACACTTGTGAGTAGTAGTTGGGTTTCATTATGCTGAAAACAAAGACTATATTATTTATATGGCTACGGTGTTAACCTCTAAGCCACTGTGCCACCCAGGAGAGGGATTATGAACATACTAACGGATAGTTTTACATCACAGTGGTCAAACCTGAAATTCATTTCAAAAGCACAAAATACATAGGCGTATCATTTTAAGCCTAAATTTTGGTAATTTGTATAAAAATTAATACATAACATAAAGATTCAACAAGACAGCTACTTGAAAGGTAAAGAAAAGAATGAAAACATTTTTATGCCTAGAAGCAAAACGAGACATAAGCTCCCGTAATTAGTGACGAAGCGGAGGCCGAATTTTGTAATTTAGGGAAAATCACCTGCATGATATAGTTTGGTTAGCAACTCATTATCTCTCTGTCTGAAAGCTTTATATAGGAGGGCAACGCAGAGCTACATGTGTTTTTTATTGTGCTATAGTAATGGCAGCGTCTTCCACCAGCAATCTGTGATTTACAGCCGTGGCCACCTGGCAGAGAACAACTTCTGTTTGGAGAGGAAGTCATCTTTGCTTCTGTGGATTTTGAGTGCTTGGCAGCGCCCTGGAGAAGACAAGCAAACACCCCGAGACACGGTGAAGATCCCAGGGAAGTAGGCGTTAAAGAGCAAACGTGTACAGCACACATCCATCCATGTGGGACACGCGGGGGTGTGAGGCCAGATGCATGCTGGGTTCTTGCTGTCGGCGCAGCTGGTATGCATGTTCATGGTGGGGAGATTAAAGACCCCCCGACTTATCATCTGCAGGGCTTGTGGGAAGGAGAGTCAGTGGAGTAGAGACTCTTGAATGGTTTGTGTTGTGTAATTCCCTCCTTCCAGTAGTGACTGTGCCACACTAACTGTATTACACTGTAAATGACAACCTGCATCTTTGCCTTCCAAACGAGATCACCCTTTGTTGCTGTTACCTGGGAAAAATTTCAATTTGTACAGGAAACGTGAGGATGGTAAACTGTCCATTCATTGTCAGCATTTTCCTGTTTTAGTGTCAGCACCTTCTCAACAGGATTCCCACGTTAAAATCATTTTTTACATGATCCCAGGAAGCTATGTGTCTGTAGAATGCACAGCTGCAGAGCCTTTAAGAAATTTCCCCCTGTAAGACACTATCTACAAAGAAAGAAAACGAACACAGAAGTGGTATCTTAATTAGTTAAGTGTCCATCCATATTGTACAGCGGTGTTTCCCAATCTGGTTCCCGGGGATCCACAGTCGATCCACATTTTCGCTCCCTCCGAGCCCCCTACCAGACAGTCCATATTTTTGCTATTGCGAGCTGGGAGGGAGCAAAAATGTGGACTATCTGTGGGTCCCCTAGGACCGGACTGAGAAACACTGTGGTACAGGGTCATGATGAGCCTGGCACCTATTACGGATAGAGCAGGGGTACAGCTGGAGGGGGTGCCAGTCATTCATAGGCAGACACACACAGCCTTCCTGTTGGAGCAGATTAAGGATTCACACACCTGACTGCCATTGGCATGATTGAGGAAACCATAGCAGTCACTCAGAACAAGCATAACATGCATAATCGAGATAGGATTCAACCCCCAAATCTGGTGGTGTCACCCACTAATAACTAATTTTTGAAGGTAATTTATTTTGTGGTTTTTGCGCCATATTCATTAGTACTCAATAACCCTGAGCTCATCCACAATTCCCAGCGTCATGCTACTATGACAACAGAAAAGACCCGTTCAAGGGTAAAAATCAAACTGTGCCCAGGACAATGGTCAATAATCACAAGTACTGTATGACTTTACGCAGAGAGGCCCTGTAACAGCACGCAAATTGGGGGGCTGAAGTTTCGTGCTGAAATGCTGCGTTGTTTAAAACCGTCACGGTTAAAATTCATTTGGTCCGTTATTATAAAGCGATCGGCAAACGGGGGCCATTAAGTTTAACTGCCCCGTTGGGTCGGGGGGGGGGGTCATCACTAACAAGAGCCCCTCGAGGAGTGAAGTGCCGAAGGGGGCAGTCCGGCCCAAAACGGCAGAGTTAGACCCGTGTGGTGTGAGTCTGATTGGCCCCGGATGTCTGATCCACCATTAGTCAGATTATGTGGTAGAAGGTCACTAGGGGTCATGGGGTCGATACCTGCGTCAATCAGAGTAGGAGCCCACCAGAGTGACCTAACTCTGTCATGTGACTTATGTGCCGCGTTAAAGAAATAAAAACCTATGGCTCTGCAGATGTGTTTACATCTCGCCTTGATTTACAAAGGGCCGTCCCACCAGTTTAAATGGATATTTCAAACGCACGGAGATTTATGAGTTAATTGGGTTACTTTAGCATTGAGTTTTTACCAGGCAAGATTGTTATGTTCCTGTTTTATGTTCACTTATGAAATGTTAAAGTTAAATCTAAGAATTAAAAAAGACTTGATATGTCAGTGTTATGTGTGATCGGTCTGCTGTAAACATGAACAAACTCAAATAAAATGTATATAAAACTTGTTGACCTCAACAATCAGTTATTTACGAATGAAGTAAACTGTTGTTGATTTGCACCCAGTATCAAAGCTTTTGCAGTAATGTGGAATTCAAGTCAAACTTTATTGTCATTTCAAAATGTATCGTCGCTTCAGGCATACAATGAAACAGAACAGTGTTTGTCCAAGACTTTAAAAATGGCTTTACACAAAAGGTTACCCTTTCCAGCCACCCCCCCCACCCAAACAAATTTTTGACCAGTACAAGGCACCCGGTGACTCACACTATTCAAGACTGACGCGGCTATCTCAGAGGCGATCGAGACCAGAGGTGCAGATAGGAGATATCGCTCTCATTAAAGTTACAGCAAGTACAAAAATATCGTGGGTGGCTTACGCTCTTCCTCGAGTGCGGCCAGGCCTGTGTCTCGTGTGGCTCTGGGAAGGAATACCTCAGTCACACCCCCTGCTAGCTGTCGCCATGAGCTCAGGGGTGAAAAGGTTAAGGACTAGGAAGCAGGTGATGTAACCTCACTGAGTGACCTTTTGGACTATGGGGGGAGGGGGGGGGGGCATCCCTTTGCTGACATACCATCCGTGTACCTGAATAGCAAAGTGTCACCACCCCCCCACCTCCAACCTTTGCCTCCCGCCCCCCTGCCCAGCCTCCCGGCACCGAGGACTCTAAGTGTCTGATTGATTTTTCCGCCGCACAGCTCTCTGGGGAGATTACGGCTGGACTCCTGTGTTTATGTGTTTCCCGAAATCCGCCCGACCCCTCGCCTCTCCTTAGAAGGTCAGGCTGCTTGTGGACGGCTCAGCACGCGCCCCTCGTGTCTGCCTGCCTCCCCTCAGTCACCGGACGTTAACGTCGACGGCCCCCTGCTCCCCTCGGTCGACATTCTGCCCCCTGGCTGCTGTCTGACATTGTCACCAGTCAAAAAAAGAGAGACAGCAAGCCAATGAGTAATAAGTGAACAACAACTTTATAACACCTATCTTTTACATTTTTTTTTATCAAAAGGTACCTCATTGGTCCATTTTTGGATCCTCCCGGGATTCGCTTTTCAGAATTTACTCATAGAACATTTTTATTATACGTATAAGTCACTGCTTCACTTGATAACACGTGTAAACCTTATAAATCAGCATTATCCTTCATTATATTACACATAATATACTTATTGTACATACTATATACACAGCTGTGCTACAGATTTAGCAATTTAACTATGGTTAATTTAAAAAGTTTATTAAAAAATAAAATTATATTTCATTTTATTACGGTGCTCTACTGCTGCATTGATATTCCTGATACAGAGATACAGCACTGTAGTTTTTTTTTTCCCTTCGTTTAATTTTTGCCAATGCTTATCAGGCATTTAATAACATAATTTTGTATTAATTTTAGGTTTTGGAAAGAGCATAATTAATCAAAGACGTATGTTTATTGCAGACCATGGCATCAATTACACAATTTAAACTGGGGAATATTATAGGGCTCAATCTGCCCCGTGAGCATTGATAAATTACCACATTATCTTGCTGTATAAAAATATCCCTCCTGGAATTCTTTCCTCTGTGTAAAAATTTCCTGGACACATTTCAGACCTGGTGCTTCGTGACCCCAGGTTTGATGGTTCTCAGTTACTTCAGCTCCTCCAATATTAATTGCTCTCTAGCATTATTTCCACCTGAGCTCCTGTTACTCAGGGAGGGAGGTGGTTGTGGGGGCAGTGGGGAGTTTGTGGGGGTTGGTATTTATGATATAGTTCTTCTTGGGGCCCAGGACTGTTTGTGTGAGTTGGGGTGCAAGGAGGGGGGGGGGGGAAATATTTATGAGTACTTGGCTACAGGAGACAAAAATGTATTACGATAAAAAACATAGAAACACATAGAAAAACGGTGACACTTTCACGGAAGTTGGCGACGTGCGAGGAGGCTGCTGCATGATGCCGAAAATCAAGGAAAATATCGTGAAATAGTCCAGAGTTCCAACGGTGTGAAATATAATTAGCTATCTGTGTGCTGAAATGTGACATTTTGTGCTAATCTTATTGGTATTTTGTTACAACTCAACTATCCTTAATATTTGTGTTCTAACTTCATGTATCCAAATTATGATATAAATGAGGCAAATAAATAAAATGGGTGATGTGGGGGGTCATTCTTGTGGCTTCGGACTATGGCTAACACTGCCCTCTCTGCATTTTGGTGAGTGGATTCAGGAGCCGCGTGTTGCTGCGGCCGAAGTGCAGAGACCGTTTTGCTGCTCCTGAATAATCCACAGGGCCCGGCAGGTGGGATGCAGGAGTAACAGGAGAGCGACATCCGACCCGGGGAAGACCCACGGGCTGGCTGGCTGGCTGGCTGGCTAGCCGGCTGGGGCGTGCCCTCCCCCCCCCCCTTCCCTTCCCCCCCGCTCCTTTGATCCGCCATTCTCTATGGCGTCTGCCACATCACACTCAAGGCCACCGGAGTCTTCAGGGGGTTAAAGATGCTCTCCTGCCGTTGGCCTGACGGTGTCTGGTTCTTATGCATCTGCTCTCCAGAATGTTCCTAAACCTGCATGTGCTGTGAGGACCCGTATTCGCTAAGTTAAATATTGTACAATAGAGCAAATGTGGCAAAGTTAGCCCCATTGGTCACCGCAGCCCCAGTGGGTCCATGGCGGAGAGCAGGGAAAAGTAAGTCAGACCTGGGAAAGGTGAGGCAGAGCCGGGAAAGGTGAGGCAGAGACGGGAAATGTGAGGCAGAGACGGGAAAGGTGAGGCAGACCTGGGAAAGGTGAGGCAGAGCTGGGAAAGGTGAGGCAGAGCTGGGAAAGGTGAGGCAGACCTGGGAAAGGTGAGGCAGAGCCGGGAAATGTGAGGCAGAGCCGGGAAAGGTGAGGCAGACCTGGGAAAGGTGAGGCAGAGCCGGGAAAGGTGAGGCAGAGACGGGAAATGTGAGGCAGAGACGGGAAAGGTGAGGCAGAGCCGGGAAATGTGAGGCAGAGCCGGGAAAGGTGAGGCAGACCTTCGAAAGTGAGGCAGAGCCGGGAAAGGTGAGGCAGCTGCTTAACTTTTACCTTCTCCTCCTTCTTGAGGAGGAAAAATATATACCATTGGCTCCTTATCCCTTGCACTCTTACAGTTTTGCTCTTTCAGACGACAGCCCCACTTATCATACTGACAGCTCAATCAGTGCCCTCCCCCCCCCAACCCACCTTCCCGACACCCACTCACCCCCCCTCGCATTCTCCTGGGGCAGAGATATCCAGCTCTGGGGAGTCGCGGCGAAAGGGCGATCATGCCCCCCCACTCACCCTGACATGGATGATGCACTTGTGGGCCTTCTCCAGAATCGTTTTCCTGGTCTTTTAACGCAACCAACCGCTCCACCCTCACTGTGCAGTCCTCCTGTTTGCCCCCCCATCCCCCCACTGCCTCCCTTCCCGTCAGCTCCCCTAGGCTGATGAATGCCTGGCCCCCCTATTGATCGCCGTGCATGATGGATGATGGGTCTGAGAAGAGTGATGGGCTGCCCGAGAAAGGTGCCAATACGGCTGGGGGGGGGGGGCCGACGGGGGTGTTGAGCATGAGGCAAGGCCTCGATACGGGTCCTAATGCAGAGAGACTTGCCCCTGGAGCGAATGGGCTCCGCCCTCAGCGTGCCCCCTGGGCACCCGTGCACCAATGGCGACGCAGTGGATGGGAGACCGCACGTGAACAGGGTGGGGAGGGATCAGGGCTGGTGGGAGATGATGGATGACGGGGCAGGGGGTGAGCACTGTTTTGTCGCTCCAAATTGATACCCGACCAAATGTTTTTGTCTGCTGTGAAAAATGGTCCTGCAGCCCTCATCGGCGGAGCCTCCTCCCTTCGCTGCGTACGCTGGCCCCCCCTCCATCTGCCACACGCATACACGCTCTCACGTCCCGGCTGCAGAGAATTCATCAAATTGCTACCAGGCCGGGACCAAAAAAACAAGAAATTTCAACCTTTAATCGGCAAAACTTTCTGCCTGTTTGTTTTCATTTACCGTCTCGAATGAAACCCGGCGGAATTTTCCAACGGATTACTTTGTAAAATTCCTCTGTTTCTCTTGTGCTGGTAATACAAGCCAGAGTCAGGAAGAATCTGTCAGATTTTTGCAATAAAAAAAGATATACAGAGGCTTTAAAAAGGACAGCAGTCTAATCTGTGACTATTTACTGCTTTGGTGTTACTGTGTTACCTTCTTCATCTGGTTATAGTGGCAGTTTTCAAGTTTTGTAGGGTAACAAAACAAATACAGAAGTATTAGTTATGATTTTTATTGAGCTAAAAATAAGTATCGCAAAAAGTGAAGTTGGTCTTTAGCAGTGAAAACGAGGAAAGCACAGGGCAATAACTGTTCTTATAAAAACAGAGGAAGGTGTTTGTGGAAATCTTTGTGGGAGATATTTGCAGAAGGATTT